AGCGAGGACACCTGGCTTGTCTCTTCATTTCATAGCTTTTACCTCTGTTTGAAGTCAGCATAGAGAACTCTGCTGGGGAAACCTTTCCTGCAAATTCTGATGCCTTCCAGCACACCATTACACCGCAGCTGGTGAAGTACCAGTTCATGCTCCATGGCACCTAGTAATTCAGAACGTAAATGAACACCACATTTTCCAGTTCAGTGGACAATGGATGTCTCAAAGTTCTCTTTCTGTTTGAGGATCTTACCAGGTGTTTTTGTTTCATTTGGGATGATGCAACGGACAAAATGGGGGTGAGTGCTCCGTAGATTGGTCATGAGCTTGTTTAGGTTCTCCTGTGGGACCATGATTTAGTGAGTAGTTATATGAAGCATGGAAAAACTAACTTTTAGGTTTTCAAACTTAGCATAAAAGTCCTATCAATGGAGATGCACTGGACTGAAAATTATCAACTGATAATACCTCAATTAATAGCTCAGTCCCCTCTGATTCTGAACATCAAACATCACCCTTTAGGAAAAGTTATAAATTGCCATCAACCCAATGAGAGATAGAGGGCAAGAACTTCATAGATTTATGAGAAAATTAATGTTTACTTTAGATGTAAGTTTAGAACTTTATAGTGTCGTTTTTCATTCCATAGGATTCTTTTTTAATGAAGATCTGAATTGAAGTTGTTTGTTTTTTGTTTTGATTTGGTTTTTTTACTGTGTCTGAGCCAGTTGAAAGTGCAGTTTAATTCTAATTTGAATAGATGAAAAGATAAAGTGTTTACTTACCCGGAAAAGAGCTGAGACAGTCTGGAATGAAGAACCCTTCTTCTTGCCACCTTTCTTGCCACCACCACCACTAGCCTCTGATAAAATGAAAATAATGAAATATGACTTTGGGGCCAATTTTTGATTCCACAATTTTGCAGAACTACTGTGCACCAAAGAGAACTCTGTGCATTTCAGAGAACTGACCTGCCTCTCCACCAGCAGAGGCAAACAGTAAGGCCAGTGTCTTCACAGATGATTTCTGATACAGCCCAATGACAGTTTCATTTAGGGGATCCTTGTTCTTTTCAAGCCAGCCAGAGATGTTGTAGTCCACTGTGCCAGCATAGCGCACCAGGGAGAAGTGGGCCTCAGCCTTCCCTTTAGTAGGTTTGGGCTTCTGGAAGTTGCTGGACTTGCCCAGATGCTGGTCATAGAGCTTGTTCTTGAAAGAGGTGTCAGTTGCCTTGGGGAACATGCACTCCTCTTCCAGGATGGAGAAGATGCCCATGGGCTGGAAGAAGCAGCAAAAAATAAGAGTGATAAAATACGTACCTGCCTATAGAAGGAGGTTGCAGTAAAGCACAGGAAACAGAAATGGATTAAATTTTTGGATCAAAAATGGATCAAATCTTTGTAAAGTTTTGCACATGCAGTTCTAGACATAACATGAATTTGTGTCTGAAACTAATGCATTTCAGAACAGATAATGTCATAATAATCACACAATGTTTTCTAAATAATTTGGAAGTCAAAAGAAGATTTTTAGTTTTTTGCCTTAATGCTTTCCCAATGTAAATTTGTGTAGATTAACATGTCTTACTAAAACTGACCTTTTTTCAACAGATCTTTCAGCTACTTCCTGAAATATTTTTTTTATTTTTTTTGTATGAAATACCCTGTCTTTAATACCAAAAGCATAATCATAATACAGAAAATTGTGTCTGGGTTTCTGAAAAGAGATCTTTCATCTTTGTAGACTAGCAAACACACCTACAGAGAATCCTTGCCATTAAATTATGTGTGATCATGTTAATTATTCTATTGCCAAACAAAGAAGAATACAGTTATTTTTTTAAAAATGCATGATAATATAGGTAATGGATAACCTAAAGGTACTCCATTTGTAGCCAAATAACAAAGGTCCTTATAAATTACTTTCTGAACACATACAATATTTGAAATGAAAAGGCACTTTTTGAATGCAAATAGCCAGGATAATAATAGGTAGGTTTATGAAGGATTAGGCAAGAAAAAATAAGGCTGTAGAAAAATCAAAAAATTCTGTCACAAAGAAGGAATACCAAAATCTTAAATGTAATCACCATACTTTTTCAATGAGCTCAATGCAGGCAGCCAGGTCCATCCCAAAATCAATGAACTCCCATTCAATTCCTTCCTTCTTGTACTCCTCTTGCTCCAGCACGAACATGTGGTGGTTGAAGAACTGTTGCAGTTTCTCATTGGTGAAGTTGATGCACAGCTGCTCCAGGCTGTTGAACTGTTCAGTGGAAAGACAAGATTCTCAAGATGAAGAACTGCCTGTATAGATTTCTCCTGTGCACTCAGAATCCCATGCAGGGATGCCCAGTTAAAACAAAAATTTTTTTCATGTTAAAATATCCCATGACCTATTTTTAAAGAGACTGGGGTTTGGGGTTTTTTTGCTGTTTGCTACCTGTATGATGTTTACATATAGAATTTATTTTTAAATCAAATTCCAAAATTATTTGGTAGTCTTACCCCTATCAAGGTGAAATTCACTCTTTTCTCTCTTATTATGTAAATTTTCCCATTGACCTTACAAAAAAAGTAGACATTGCCAGTGTTTACCAAGCCAGGAGTGGTACCCTCCCCAAATGTCTATAGAACTTCTCTGTCTGCACTAAGGGCGGTCAATGCTTTCTTCCTGTTGGAATCACCCTTTGGTGCTTCAGAAACAAAGGATAGATACTGCTCTCTTTTTCCGAAGCTTTGACACACTTTTGTGTGAGACATAAGTCTACCTTTCTGTACCTACACTCCATGATACTGTATCTTCGGTATTTGTGTGCTATTTCTGAGTGGATTTTATTTAATATTAAGGTCAAATAATTGAAAAGCTACAACATTTGTGCTAATTAAGTAAAAGGAAGCTGCTTCTTCCTTGTGTACCACATAAAGATATTATATGCAGATCCATTGAAGCTCACGGATTGTGCTGGATAAAAAGGACTGACATATACAAGGAAGGAAAGCATTTCCAGAAAATTAAAAATAAACTTTAAAAAAATGAAAAATTTTATTTGAAATTGCAAACTACAGGCCAGTCAGCCTCACCTCCATCCCTGGGAAGGTGATGGAACAGATCATTCTGGAGGCTACCTCTAAACATGTAGAGGAAAAGAAAGTTATTGGAAAGAGTCAACATGGATTCACTAAAGGGAAATCATGTCTGACAATTTAATATCCTTCTATGGTAGCATGACTGGCTGGGTGGATGAGGGGAGAGCAGTGGATGTTGTCTACCTTGACTTCAGCAAGGCTTTTGACACTGTCTTCCATAACATCCTCACACGTAAGCTTAAGAAGTGTGGGTTAGATGAGGGGACAGTGAGGTAGGTGAAGAACTGGCAGAGTTCAGAGGGTTTTAATCAGTGGTACAGAGTCTAGTTGGAGGCCTGTGGTTAGTGGTGTTCCCCAAGGGTCAGTACTTGGTCCAGTCCTATTCAATATATTCATCAGTGACTTGGATGAAGGGATTGAGTGTACTCTCTGCAAGTTTGCTGATGACACTAAACTGGGAGGAATGGCTGATATACGGGAAGGCTGTGCTGCCATTCAGTGAGATCTGGACAGGCTAGAGAGTTGGGAAAAGAGGAAACTTATGAAGTTGAATAAGGGCAAGTGTAGGGTCCTGCACCTGGGGAGGAATAACCCCAGGCACCAGTATAGATTTGGTGTTGACCTGCTGGAAGGCAGCCCTGCAGAGAAGGATGTGGGAATACTGGTGGATGACCAGTTGGCCATGAGCCAACAATGTGCCCTTGTAGCCAAGAAGGCCAATGATTTCCTGGGGTGCATTAAGAAGAGTGTGACCAGCAGGTGGAGGGAGGTTCTCCCCCTCTACTCTGTCCTGGTGAGGCCACATCTGGAATATTGTGTCCAATTCTGGGTCCCTCAGTTCCAGAGAGACAGGGAACTTCTAGAGACAGTCCAGCGGAGGGCTACTAAGATGATTAGGGGGCTGGAGCATCTTTCTTTTGAGGAAAGACTGAGAGCTAGGTCTGTTTAACCTAGAAAAGAGAAGACTGAGACGGGACCTTACTAATGTTTATAAATTTCTAAAGGGAGGGTGTAAAAACGATGGGGTCAGACTCTTTTTAGTGGTGGCCAGTGATAGGACAAGGGGAAATGGGCATAAGCTGGAACACAGGAGGTTCCACTTAAACATGAGGAAAAACTTCTTTACTGTGAGGGTGACAAAGCACGGGAACAGGCTGTCCAGAGGGGTTGTGGAGTCTCCTTCTCTGGAGATATTCCAAACCTGCCTGGATGCAGTCCTGTGCAACATGTTTGAGGTGAACCTGATCTGGCAGGGGCAGTTGGACTAGATGATATCCAGAGGTCCCTTCCAACCCCTACCATTCTGTGATTCTGTGAAGTTAATGGAATGTTTTCAAATAAATCCACCATAATTCTCCAGTTTCTCTTGAGCCCTAATGGTCTTTTCAAGATTTTGCTGATTCCTGTGGTACTTACATCAAAGATCTCGAAGCCAGCAATGTCAAGGACACCAATGAAGTACTGTCTGGGTTGCTTGGTATCCAGCTGTTGGTTGATGCGAACAACCATCCACAAGAACATCTTCTCATAGACAGCCTTTGCCAGAGCACCCACTGAATTGTTCACCTAAAACAAAGAATGCAGCAGAAGGAAAATAGTACCCAGAGCAAGAGAGTAAATCAAGCCAGAGGTTCCCAGTCACCAGTTGGTTGTTACCTGCTGCACAGTTTGACCCTTGGTCACATACTCATTCCCAACCTTGACTCGAGGGTAGCAGAGGGCCTTGAGCAGGTCTGCTGAGTTCAGACCCATCAAATAGGCAGCCTTGTCAGCAACTATACACAGAAAGGGAGACAGTGACAGAGGAGAAGTGATTATTGAAAGTGGACATCCTCTAGTATGTAGCTGTAGATTTCAGCACTGCTGTCTTGTGGTATCTTGAAGGCAAATTTAAAGACATAAATAATATGGAAATTGAGATTTATATGTTTATGAAAGTAAGTTGGAGCCAGGTACCTGAGTGGCAACTGCCAGCTGTGTAACACTTTGTTACTGGGAGTTCTAGATTTTGTTAATACCTTCTGTGCCATCGGGCTCTGCCTGCTCCTCACGCTGCTTCTGCTTAAACTTCAGGTTCCCATAGTGCATGACAGCCCCCGTCAGCTTGTAAATGGCTGTTTTCTCATCAGCAGTGAAGCCCAGGATGTCAATGGCACTCTGGCAACAGAATCAGTTAAATAAACCTGTGGGCCATTAAATGAAACTTTTATCATATAAATATGCTCTGTGTCACTTACATCCGTAGCCACCAGCTCCTCCTGGTCATTAATACTGGCAACTGTGATCTCACCTTGACTCACAAATTGGTAGTCATATGGGTTGGTGGTAATGAGGAGCATGTCTGTAATGAGGAATAGGACATATCTGGGCATAGGAGTGAAGATAAATGTTAAACACATTCCGATTCCATCAAACAATTTATGATACTTCCTACCAATTAGCTCTGGCTTCTTGTTGGACATGATTTGATAAAATATGTGGTAGCTTCTTTCTGCCTTGAGCTGGAAAGTGACTCTGGACTTCTCCAGCAGATCTGTCAAGGACAATAGGATAGATTTAGCCTGAGAAAGTACACTGAGGTGGAAAGGGAGGAAGGACTGTGATTAGGTCAGGAGGTTTCTTACATGTTTCAATGTCAGCAGAAGCCAGTTTGCCTGTGGCACCAAAGTGGATTCGAATGAATTTGCCCTTTAGAAGGGAAAAAAAAAGGCATTTTGAAATTTCACTAAGGCTGTAAGTATGTAAGTGTTCTCCACAGAGGACAGGATTTAAACTTAGAACCTGTTTTGATTTTTTCTTTCCTTATTTTTCTTAAAAAAAGCAAAAGAGAAAAAAAATCAGGAAACTATACTGGCAATACTAAGGTAAAGATCTGAGCTGAGTTATTACTATTTAGTGGATAACTCTGAACGAACAGGAAGAAGAAAACCACTAAAGAAACCTTTAATTAGGTCATTTATGCCTTAGTTCAAACAGACGGGTAAACCAAGACAAATAGATCGTAAGCCAAGATGCAGTTGCTTAATCTTTTAATCAGATAGGATGCTGTGAAGGTGGATTTTTGTGGTTTAAATGTTCAATGAGTTTTTTGGATCTTGCAGAAAAACAGAAGGCTGCTGTCATTTTCTGAGTTATGGGGATTGGGGCAACACACCCAGAACATAGGTCTTTAGGAGGAGACTGTAAATTGGCGTTGTGATTTCCCAAGGACATTCACAGCTTGTCTAATAAACTTTACAAATGGCTTTTTGCGTTAAAATGAACAAAAGGACATGTCATAGAGTAGTTTGGTTTCTGACAGGAAGTCTTGAAGACATCTTTGTCCCAATCCCTTCCCAGACAACTTGTATCAGGTCTGAAGAGTCAGATTAATAGACCTGTCCAGTTCTGTGTTTAAAAAACAGAGATTCGTATTTTTGCTGATCTCATGCAGGCAATTTCAATCCTGTCTTTTCCTCCCTCTTACCCTCCCTCCCTCCTTTCCTCACTTCCTTCTGCATTATATCAATTTACAAAAATTTGTATCTGTAGTCTATATGATAGGTACCAGGAGTACGTATATATAGAGAGATATTTATAAATATTCAATACTATAGATATTTATACATATTTAAATGTTCCCCCTTTGTAAATATTTGCTATAATACATTTTTACAGTTATATTTTAAATTTGGTAGTCTAGCTAGATAACTTTTAGTTGACAAAATTATGAAGAAAATATTAGTTCAATGAATACAATCATCCAACCCCGACCATGACACTTCAGAAGTGATAGTTTCTGTTCTGACATCCTTTTTCACCTGTAAATGTCAACTTCTCTGATTAAAAACTTACAAAGCGTGAGGAGTTGTCGTTCCTCACAGTCTTGGCATTTCCAAAGGCCTCCAGCAGTGGGTTGGCGCTGATGATTTGATCCTCAAGCGTTCCCTACAGGATGGTAATTATTCCTGGTTATCATTTCCAAAAATCATGTCAGGAACAGAGAAAAGCATTGATTCAAACCAGTATCTATTAACTTGCCTGCATTTTGCCAGACTGCTCCTCCTTTTTCTTCTCCCCACTTGCTGCAATTGTTGCAAAGTACTGGATGACACGCTTTGTGTTCACAGTCTTCCCTGCACCAGATTCTCCGCTGCAAAACCAAAGAGAGAAGCAGAGAGCGTGTGGTCAGGCAGGAGGTCCCTAGGCACCTTGCAGCCCCTCATGGACCCAAGCTGGGAGTGTACATACGTGATCAGGATTGACTGGTTCTCACGATCTGTGAAAGAGGCAGAAACAAATAGAATTTGTAAATGAAGATGACAAAAAGACTGAAAATTAAGGAAGTAAATGTAATGTTATGACAAGAAAAATATCTGCATTCTTTTTCCTTTGTTTCCGAGTAACAGTTTTAAAAAAATCAATTCTTTGCAAAGTAATGTTTATCTAGGAACAATGAAAACCCTTGAAAGGATGTGTGTTTCTTCTCTACTTCACTCTTTATGGCTTTTTTTCTCCTGCATACAGTAAATTGTTTCTGGTTTTGTTGTTTTAATTTTCTGCTACACAGACTGCATTTAGAGCAGTATAGAAAGGGAGGGTAAGGAGCCATTGAGCACAGGTAATTGTTCTGAACCCAATATCACAAAGAAAGGAATGAAAAGGTGGAAACAAAACAAGTAGCAAAATAACATTCTATGTCATTTTTTCATGTCATGGTTTTATCAAGACAAATCTGAATATCTGTGATACTGATGTTTCCTGTAGACTTTTGATGAATTAACTTCATATCATTGGACAGAATTTTCACATCACATATGGATCTCATAGCCTGTTCAATTTCACTATTTCATTACGACATAATTATATTCTGTGCTCCACCTAGTCTATTTGGCTTATTGTTTTTTCCTGACAACCTAACTATCTCTGGCATTATACTTACTTTTTAGAAATACTGATGTAAGAAAATTCTGTTTAAATCAGCACTGATTAATTCTATGACTGAAATAAAACTCTAATGATGTTAAGAAAGTATCACAATGTTTATCAGGGAAACTCTGTGATTATTTTTAAAATGTCTTTTTGATGGAATCACTCTGACAGCCACTCACCTGTTAGCATGAGCTTAAAACAAGCAAGCAAAATGCCAAAACACCTCGCTGAATGCAGGGGTGTCTTTCATTTAAAGTAGTAGAAACAATGGTGAGAAGATAATAAAACACATGATAACATATGCATCAGAAACATGTAAGCTTTGAAAAAGTCCCCTCATATT